CCGACCCCACGGCAGAACCGGTTCAGACCCGACACCACGGCAGAACCGGCTCAGAACCGACACCACGGCAGAACCGGTTCAGACCCGACACCACGGCAGAACCGGCTCAGAACCGACACCACGGCAGAACCGGTTCAGACCCGACACCACGGCAGAACCGGCTCAGAACCGACACCACGGCAGAACCGGTTCAGACCCGACACCACGGCAGAACCGGCTCAGAACCGACACCACGGCAGAACCGGCTCAGACCCGACACCACGGCAGAACCGGCTCAGAACCGACACCACGGCAGAACCGGTTCAGACCCGACACCACGGCAGAACCGGCTCAGAACCGACACCACGGCAGAACCGGTTCAGACCCGACACCACGGCAGAACCGGCTCAGAACCGACACCACGGCAGAACCGGTTCAGACCCGACACCACGGCAGAACCGGCTCAGAACCGACACCACGGCAGAACCGGTTCAGACCCGACACCACGGCAGAACCGGCTCAGAACCGACACCACGGCAGAACCGGTTCAGAACCGACACCACGGCAGAACCGGCTCACACAGAAGCAGGTTTTAATCTCACCCTCTCTGCAGGAGCGTCTGAAGGTCAGCGTCCCGTCCATCTCGTTCTTGATCTTGATGAGCGCGTCCAGAACCATCGGCCCGCAGGTGTTCAGGTCGATCTCGTACGTCTGCATGCGAGGCTTGTCTCCGGCGCGGTCCGGGTCCCAGCGGTAGATCTGGAAGCTCTTGATTCTGGGCTGAACCGCGGACGCCGTCTGCGCGAACCGCACCGCCTGACCAATCAGAACACAGACGCTGACCTCTAGTGCTCACAGACGGAACTACACCCTGATTACATCACCAGCTAGGTTTTTATGCGCATTTTGGGTTATGGCATTAAAAAAAACACTGGAAGGAAATGCCAAGATGCGCATAAATTCTAAAAAGGCGCATTAAAAACCGAATGTGCTCAACTAAGTCGGATACATTTCTTCTCCAGTAAGAAAACATGCGCATTAACTACGATGTGTCACGTGATCCACACACACTAATGAAATATTGCATTTAATAGCTAAAACATTAAATATGCCACATCATATGTTGTGTTAGTGTTTAAAACATCACTGAATAATATGAAACAGCAGCTTGTGATTTCATAACCACATCATAAACCTCACAGCTATAATAATCTGTATAACTGCCAAACTCGAGCGCTATATCGATCAAATATAGACACATATGTCTGGACGAGCGCTGAGGAGTCGTGTCGTGATGTTTCTCACCGTGCTCGAGGCTCGGTGACCGGCGGCGCAGCAGCGGCTCAAGGAGAAACACACCGCGGCCATGTTCGCGTCAATCTGACCCTGCGCTCCTCCAGCAGCCCACAATGCACCGCGCGGGACGCGGCTCAAAAACAGCTCGCCTGTTAATGACTGCACTAGATAGGCAGCACACTAGGTTTTAAAACACAGCCCGTGAGGGATAGTTGATTTGATAGATATGAATTACTGTCACTACTTCTTGCAGAATTGCATATTCACCGCAGTAAATTCCCTCATCAAAATCCTTTATTTATTGTTTAGAAAAAAGTGGTGTCTCATTCATAATTCGTGATGATATCATCCTATTTTATATTTCTGTAATTTATAGCATTTATATTATAATAATAATAATTTATGTATATAACTAATAATAATAACACAATTTTTTTAAAAGTCGGACTTTTATTTTGTCACGCTGACGCGCTCGAATGACCCGGATGTGGTGTCACGTCGCCGGCGTCTTGGCGTTGCTCTGCAGTAAGTCACGGTTTACCGGATCGGTCATCATGGTGTTCCTCACGCTCTCGCGCTGGATCCGGAACCGTGGACCGGACCGGTACTGGAAGGTCCAGGAGCTTCTGAAGAGCGCGCGGGTGAGACTCGAATCTAGTTTACCAAATAACTGAAGCCAGGCTTGTTTTAGTTGACTTAGTCTGACTCCTGCTGGGAAGCTAGCCTGGTGCGGAGCTGAGCTAAGCTCTAACACGGAGCAACAGCAACATACACGTTACACTTTATTAGCACTACTAATATAAAAGTACGCAGAACTGGAGTAATAAACAAGATAAATGCACATATAGGCCACAACTGACTGTATATAATGTATTGTGCCCAAGATTTAATGACATTTTTTTAAAGATATGAAAATATTTTAACATAGCTGCTACTTACTCTGGTTTTAGCTGTACTTTTCAGAACATTACAATCTAAAATCAGATTACTTTTCTCACGTAACTAGTAAAGTAACGGATTACTTTTGAATTCAGAAGGAACTATCAGAGTTACTTTGTCTCCATGTGTTGAGTGATAGTTCTGGTGTTGCCATGGTGACAGAAATCAGGAGTAAGTGCAGAGTGTTGTGTGTGAACATGATCTTACTGTAGTTCTAGACTAAATATCAACATGTGTTTACTCAAAAACACATTCAGCGTTCCTCACAATCAATAAAAACAGTCAAATGCAAACTCAGAATATTATACAAACCTGCAATAATTGTTAGATAACACAAATATACTCTATTTAATACCATTTTATTAACCAGTGTCTTTGCTGCTGACCTTCAATGATCCACTTCAACCATACTAAGCAGAAATAACACATTTGTGTATTATTTTAGTTATTGCTGAATAGTGTTGAACGTTCTTCTCCTGCGTCATATTCTTCATGTGATTAGTTTGAGCGGCGCCCTCTACTGTACAGACGAGAATTTACATTTCCTTCAGCCTGAGGCGTATTCACTTCACTTCTGGTGTGAAAGGGCTTTACATTTGTAAAATAACTTTTTATATTGAAAACAAACAAGCAAGCCCTGCCCAGATTTAAAAAGTAACGCATTACTTTCCATAAAAAGTAACTAAGTAACATAACTAGTTGTTTTTTTAGGGAGTAACGCAACATTGTAACGCATTAGTTTTAAAGTAACTTTCCTCATCACTGCTGGTTATGGTGTGTGTTGTTCACAGCATTTCCGCGGCAGGAAGAACCGCTGCTACAGTCTGGCGGTGCGCGCCGTCCGCAGGGCGTTCGTCTACGCCAGCAAAGCTCGGAAAGCCAAGCGACACAGCATGAGACAGGTACGACACGGGTCATGTGACCTCACACCTGTCAGTCACTGGCTCTGAGCTCTAACACACATCTGTGTCACAGCTGTGGATCCAGCGCATCGCAGCAGCCAGCAGAGAGCAGCACATGAAGTACCCCGCACTCATACACAACCTGCTGAAGGTGAGGGACCTCACAGCTAGCTCTCACGACTGTGTGTGTGTGAGAGGGAGTGTGTGTGTGTGTGAGTGTGTGTGTGTGTGTGAGAGAGAGAGTGTGTGTGTGTGAGAGAGAGAGTGTGTGTGTG